ACAATTTTAAATATATTTAATATTGAGTGTCTTATTCTATTTTCTTAAATTACTAATTACTTTATTTAATTACGATAAAAAAATTATTTCAAAATTGTAACTAATTTAACTATTTGAAAAGTTTATCGAGTGTATTTTTTATATTTAAATATATTTATAAAAGCATATTCAACAAAACATTAACAAGATTAATATTATTGATCATACCGAATTTATTAAGATATATAGAGAATTAAGAAAACTAAAATAAATTCATATTACTAACTCAAGTAAGTGAATGGTCCCTAATAAATTTTTATTAAATTTGTTACTTGATTCAGTATTGCTTTAATGAAATAATTAAAAAAAAGGTAAATAATTTTAAAATGTAAATAAAATAAGTGTTGAAGCTAAACATTTTTAAGAAGTAAATTATTATATGGTCCCTACACTCAATTTCAACAAATCTGAGATAATTGATTTTTTTTTCCAACTGTTTTTAAATCAAATCATTAAATGACGAATTAAAGTTTTTTGGAATGACAAATAGGAATAACACAAGATTTTTTCGTGCATTTAAAATATTGAAAACTTCAGACTTTTTTTTAAGATCTAGCCTCTAAATATTAAGTTTTATGATGAAAAGAGTTTTTAACACCGAAAATGTTTGAAAGTATTAATACAATAGTAAAATTAATGAGTAAAAGAAAGTAATAAAGTACAATAAAAGTTTTTTAAAATTTATGCAATTAGTGGAAGGTCCCTCTAGTAAAAATATTAAGCTAAAAATTTTCAATTAATTCTTATTTTTTATCAATGAAATTTAGTTATTCTTGACTACTCTGAGGAACCCCCATGAAAATACGTAATTAGTGAATAATCCCCAAGTCAAATTTAAATATTATGGTACAGATCTATAAATAGACTAGCGTGAGGAGACCATTATCTTGCCCAGGGACAACGACGAAGGCACTTCACAGACGATGAAATTAACAAAAGAAATAAAATTTTCTTTTGTTAGTAAACTGACAATGTTTAGTTGGTCTCCGTGATCAGCAAAAATTCGAGAGATTTTTCCATTCAATTTCAGAGGGTGGAAAACGAAGACTGAAATTGAGAATCGCTTGCAAAAGGTAGCTGAGTTGCACCCGAGAGTGCAAGAATCCTTCCCATTGAATCTAGCTAATTATACGCACATGCGGACCCACATGTAAAATGATTGGCGCTTTCATACGCTACGGACCGACGGTACGCCAAAATGCATACGGTTGAATAAATTGTGAAAACGTTGAACAGAACAATGTGAAACCTACGCCTTTTGCAAAATTCGTGGCGAAAAACATCAGGGTAAAGAAAATTTTTGGAGAAGGGTAAATTAAACCCTTTTTAAAAACACCATGGCTTCTAAGAAAACGAAAGTAAGTACCTTTAAGTATTTTTTAAAACCACAGTGATCCAGAGGTGCATATCAGTTTAAAATGCATTTCCAAGTACTATGGAGAGGTGGTGATGTATTCATACCTCTCTGCACTGTGGGTCTTCTTGTTTTGTTTTTCACTTTTTTTTTCTCTCTCGGCTACTGCGGTTTTTCTAGGTTTGTTTCTCCCCTTTCGTAAGCAAATTTTCGTTTTATATTTCAAATTCGTTTTTCTCTATCACGTCTGGGAAGTCTTGAAAATGGGGTCCTATTTTCGAGCGCTTGAAATCTGTCAACTGTTATTTCCAATTTGTATATTTCTGAAGCGAATCAAGTTTTAATCAAGTGATATCTTACTGTTTTAGTTTCTGGGGATTATTTATTTAATATTTCTTTACATTGCTGGAACGCAATACAAACGAACTTTATTTACTATTTTGGTACATTTCCTATCTCATCCTTTTGCATTTGTATTCATTCAATAATTACAGATCTTTTAAATGTGTATTTTAATATGTTGGACGCATGCGCAGTTTATTATTTTAACTGACTCGCTCTCTCTTCTCTTTTAATAGCACTTAAACCATAAAAGTGTAATAAAAGAGACAGTTTTAATAGTCAACATCATTTATTTCATAAAACAAGAATAAAAGAAAAATATAATAAACTAAACTATTTGGTGCGACAAAACATTTTTTTCGCAGTTTCGGTGGTGATTATATATTACATATATAATGGATTGACAAAATAATCCTAGTAAAGTATAAATGAAACTAAAGAATGTCTGTTTCGTTTCCTACTATGAGAACCGTATACCATAATCATCTAATCTTCAATTGAATTATAACAATACAGTGGTTTATTTTATTCCCTAATAAAAAATATTGAAATATGCCTTATTCAGATATCAAAACTATATGGACATACCATTGCAGCTAATGAGAAAAAGGTAGCCAAGTGCTACTGGCCATTGATTTGCTTATACGTGAACATTTTTTTCTTCTTTAATTCAATTAGTTTTAGGAAATATATACTTTTTAAAAGTATTCATTTTTACGAAAAAGTATACTTTTGAATAGTGGGCGAACGTTTAGCCCCTAATGTAAGTTACACTTTTTTCACACATTTTTTTTTAATTTCTGTTTTTTCAAGTACAAATCTGAAAACACAGTTCAAATTCATATAAAATTTAGTAAAAATGTGTATACCTTTATAATTCCAAAAACTTTTTTTTAAAAATCTAACTGATTTCGTTCAAAACTTGTATTTTGCCATATAAAATTATATTTTTTAATGTGATGTGATGATTGCTAAATGGTTTCTTTCATTTGATGATTAGTTTTGTACTTCTATTTTTAAATAAATTAACAGACGAAAAATAGTAATTTTACTCATTTTTATTTATAACATATAAATTTGTACACCAAAATGTTGGCTGTTTTCGATAGATCAGAAAAAGAGTGTTTAATGCCAAAATTAATGAAGAACATTATTGATTTATCCCTATAAAATGTATTTTAATTTACTATTACTGCATATTTATAATAGTTATCAATTATTTCCTACGTCAAAATTTTGGGGTTTTGTCAAAAACTTTGTTAAAAAAGGGCATGAGAGTTAGGAATGATGGTTTGACATGACGGTTAAAACCATGGCTAAAACCGTCAATTGTCAAAAACTTGTCAACCCTGATTTTGATACTGGAAAAGATAATGAAAGCTTAGAAAAAAGTTTAATTCAACTTATTTCAATCTAAGCACACTTTTTTTTTTCTTATCAAGATATTTTTTTTAAAACATTGTTTGAATTTAGCCAAAAGAATAAGCTCTTCACTCTGAAGAAAGTTGATAGTATACGGTTCATATATTGCTATATATATAGCCATAGTGTTGCTATATTTTTGAATCATTTCGCCATCACCAATACAGCTTCTCTTTTACCGACAAAATGAGTCCTCATAATTTTTTTAAAATTAGAAATAAAATCGAATTTAATTATATTCTAAAAAAGCAAGTGTTACTATTCTCATTCATCTAAATCACGAAAGGGTTACTTAAAAAATAGATATACTGTTATTAATTCCTTGTTTTACACAATTTGAAGCCGTTATTGTAATTTAGTCCTGTATTTTCTATAAATATAAGTTTCATATACCTAAAATTTTGTAATGAAGTTTATAATTATGTCCCTAAATTGGGACATTCACTTAAAAAAGAACTTACGAATCGATGACAGGCGAAATGAAACAATCTTTTTAAGATTTATTCATTTTCAAAAATTCTCTTTTTTACAAAAACACACTTTTTCACAAAAATTATAAATTGTACAATTTTTTTTCTTCCAGACGGTAGGTATCACAGTTCAGTTCAGAAAAAAGCATTTTTTCTAAATATAGCAACATTTAACTGTTAAAGAAGAACATACATAATACTTAAAATCGTGGGAAAGAACTCTTTTTTTTTTAAATATAAAGTACAATCACAAAAAAGAGTAGACAAATATAAATTGAAACTAAAAATATAGTAGGAATATGTTAAAAGTTTAAACACATTTAAAAATAAGGTTGTAACTATTGATGATGAATAACACCTTTAGAACATATGGATTAAGCAATGTCATTTAAGCAGTTAATGGCTTCATGAAGCTATGTATTAGAAAGACATTTTCTAAGTTACATACGTACGTTTAAAAAAATAATTTTTATGAAACTTAAATTGAAAAAAAATGAAATTATTAAAAATTAATTGAAATTAGGGAGGATTACATTTAAGGTTGTCATGACTGATAACACTTGAAATAATAAAAAAAAATCTTCAAACTTTTAAATAATTTTTAGAAAAAACTTATTTATATGGCAGTTTTTGAATGTTTTAACGAACCAAACGACAAAGTGTTCTTAATAAAAACAGCTTTTTATTAAATAACATTGACTAAACTTCCATACTAAAGTTTATTCATTCTACTAATTGAAATATAGTAGGTAATTTTTAAAATACAAACAATCGCGACAACACATGTTAAATTACAAAATATTTTTAATTAAACTGATTAAGATAAAATAAACTCACAATATATTTTTGCTGCATTTAACTTTTATGGGTTACATTAAGGTCAAAATGTTTAAAGGGTCACTTTATTTTCAGTAACTGATTCAATAATAACATACAACAATAAACGATTAGTGTTGTCATTTTAAAACACTATGAGGAAAAAAAGCGATGAAAATTATCTCTGCTTAGTTTTGATTTCACGTTCCTTCTTTCTCTAAATCAAAATTTGGTTATTCTTGACTATACTTATTAATTTTTTTAAATCACAGATAAATGACTTTTTGGCTATTCACAAAGTGGTAATTCGGTGTTTTATGTATTTTTCTTTTTTAACCAGGGTTGGCATTCCGTCCGGAAGAAACCTATTTCTTCCACTGGAAAAAACCAGACAAAATGGAAGAAACTGGCGAAATGAAAGAAATTAAAAAATAACAATACAAATGTTAAGAAGTATTATAAAAATAGCGTAAATTAAAACAAAATTAAATTTAATATAGTGTCAAAAAGTTAAAAAATTAATATATATACTTAAATTTTAAAAAATTTTCACAGGATTTTTAAGTTTCAAATACCATGTTATTTAAAAGTAGGGTTAAGTCTTCATATTTTACAGTATTTTTATTAAAAAATTAGGATGCTAGTAGTAAGTATGAATTCAGTATCGGCTTTTTAGTTGTATATTTATTTAGTATGTTTTGTAATTTGTTAATAAGGTTAATTAATAGAACTATTAAGATTAATAGAACTTAATTAAGCTATTTTAACAGTTCTTCATAGAATTAAAAAAAATTACGTTTTACTCTACTCATTTGCATTCAGTTTTCTATTTTTAGTTTTCACTCATTTAAAAATGATACACATTAAATAGCATAAAAGTTGATGCTATGCAATTATAAACATTTAAAAAATTTAGTTTCTTCCACTTGAGATGGAAGAAATCTATTTCTTCCGGGAAGTTTATCCCATGGTATTTTCCACTTAGGATGAAATTTGCCATTCTTGTTTTTAAAAAAGTTCGACGGATCCTGAAAAAATTAAAGCCGCTCTTGTCAGATGAAGTCATTCCACATTTAAACAAAAGATGCGTGAAAATATATAGAAAAAAAAAAAGAAATTTTCTCAGATCTGGTTCGAGAAGTTGGATAGTCTTTTTTACAACCCTCATTTATGTTAAATCACTTCAGGCTCTCTGAGGTTCGTTTTTTTAAAAAACAAATTTGGCACACAATAATTCTTCTCTTGTATTGGGGGAAACAACATATGAAAGAGAGGAAGAGAGAAGAAAAAAATACATAATTGAGTTGTGTAAATTGAACTGCCCCAAATCCTTCTTAAAAATGAAAATATGATGAGTGAATTGTTTCAAAGCAAGCAATCCTTCCATCAATGATGAATGCAAGATGAGAAACCTGAAAGGAAAAAAAAAGTTATTAATTTCAAATATAAACATTTTCTTAAAATATTTTATTTATTTACAGTCCTTAGCCAGATTATTATAAGCACTATAAACTTCTATGAGAAATCTTAATTATCAAGTGATGCTATGCACAGGGTGCGTAGCCAAATCTTTGAATCAAAAATAAGCACTTTTTAAAAACTTTTCAAGCACTATTATCACTAAGTTACAAAAGTTAAATTAAAAATAATGTAACTCTAGTGAAAAATATCAGAAAGTCTTTTTTTGAAATGATAATAATATTTGTTTTCTTGGAAAGGTGTGTCGTTTATGAAAGAGCAAAATCATTGATCTGTCTGGGTTTTTTTAAGAGGTACCTATCTTGTGAAAATTTAGACATAATTAGTGCAAATAAAAAATTATATTTAAAAAATCAACACAAAAATATGGTAAAGGAAGAAAATATTTTCAAAAATTGTCACTACAAATAAATATCATTTATGACTTATTTCTATATATTTTTCCCTATATACTCAAAAATAATTTTGGTATTGTAAAATTTTGGGCTAAAAATTTTATCTAAATTACAAAAAGCATAAATCTGTAAAAAATCATTGTCCACAGTAAAATTTCAACTTGAATTTAGTAAAAACATGCATTTAACAGTACTAATACTAAAAGTTATTCTAATTATGAGAACATTTTCCTCTGGGTCATACAGAAAAAAGTTTCACAGAGAAAAAAATATTAGAAATGTCAGTTAAAAGAAATTTACAATAGTGTTTATGATAATGTTCGAATTTCGACTTCTTGTAAAGCTTACAGAGGGAGAGCCTCACGTTTAATTTTAAAAAACTCAGCGGGAAAAAAATTCGCTTTGAAATGGCGTAAACGACCGATTAGGTTTCCCACATTGACTGAACATGTGCTACC